GCATTTAAAATAGTTTGAAGACTACCCTTGGCCTCAAACTTTTAATTTTTAACTGAAACCCGAACCAAAATTTAATATATCCAATCGATTTTTATATATCTAAATTCAAAAACCCGAAAATTTGAAAAAATCGAAAAAAATCCGAAATCTCGACAAAATCCGAAGTGAGAAGAACCAAATACTGTTTGGGTTTCAAGTATCACAAAGAAATTGAACTGAAACCGAAAAATCAGAACCAAACCTCAAAAATACGCGATCGGAACCTAAAGTCCCAGGCCAGCAGGCCTACCTACCATTGTCGACATGCCGTATTTGGTTACGACTTTGGTACGCTTTAATTTTACTGCAAAAGTGAAACTAACTAACTAAATAATCTGATTATAAATCGGCATAAGAGAAAACAAATGCGGTCATGTTGGGTCCTACATGAGCATTGTCGACATAAAAAAGTAACGTGCCTCGATTAGCACCGAAAGTGACAAACAACAGTGTAATCAATAACTTCTTGTGTTTACTTAACTCGAACCAAGACTTTAAGATTCTATCTTTAATAAAGCCGGAAAAGAAAAAAAACAAGAACATAGAAACTCTATCTTCAGATATCAGAAACCTCAAACGCGATGAGTTGGTTCAGATCAAAGACTTCAAGAACCGAAATACAACCACCACCTTCAAACGGACAGCAAGACGCCATGTACTCATCGCACCAAGAAGAAGTCCTGTTGCAGATTCAAGGATGCAGAGCCCATCTCATCGACGGATCCGAAGCGGTGGAGCTCGCCGCCGGAGACTTCGAGCTTGTGCAAGTCTTTGACAACGGCGTAGCCTTAGCTATGGTCGTGAGGATCGGAAATGACCTGCAGTGGCCGGTGATTAAAGACGAGCCGGTGGTGAAACTCGACTCTCGCGACTACCTCTTCACGCTTCCGGTGAAAGACGGAGACCCACTCAGCTACGGCGTCACGTTCTTGCCAAGAGACGAGAACGACGTCGTCTTCGTGAACAGCATCGAGTTGCTTGACGATTTCTTGAGAGAGAACTCGTGTTTCTCTTCTTCCTCTGCTTCCGCTTCTTCTTCGCGAATTAACAATGGAATCGATTGGAAAGAGTTTGCTCCTAGGATTGAAGATTATAACAATGTTGTGGCTAAAGCCATTGCTGGAGGGACAGGGCATATCATTAGAGGGATGTTCAAATGCAGTAATGCTTACACTAATCAGGTTTGTTTCTAATTATATAATCCTCCCAAATTAAAGAACATGTTATAATTTATCTCAAATTCTGAATATTGGGGTTTGTTTTACGAGATAACAGGTTCACAAAGGAGGTGAGGTTATGATCACAAAGGCTGAGAAGAAGAATGGTTCGTCTTCACAAAGAAAATCAACCACAAATAAGAATCAAATCAACAAGAATCTTCTACGGTAATATCAAATATAGTTGACCATAAGAATGATTCTTTGTAAGGATATTCAGTCCAAGTTTAGTTTGATATAGATTCGGTTTTAGAAAAATAGTTATCAAACTAGAACCGCTATGGTACTGATCATGTTCATGTTTTAATCAAATTTCCTAATTAAAGTTTCGGTTATCAATTCGGTTTATCCAGATTGAGCACTCCTAATTCTTTTGTATATGTATTTTTTTCTTATGGAACGATAATATTTGTGGATATATAGAGTGAGGAGACTTTCAAGAGCGACCGAAAAACTGAGCAAGACAATGTTGAATGGTGTGGGCGTGGTGAGTGGCTCGGTGATGGGTCCTGTTGTGAAGTCAAAGCCAGGGAAAGCATTTTTCTCAATGGTTCCAGGGGAGGTTCTCTTGGCTTCACTTGATGCTCTTAGTAAGTTTAGACTATAATTAGTTATTGACTTCTCATTAACACTAGATAATGATACTAATATATAGTTTGATTTTGAAAATAAGATAAACTACTAGACGCTGCTGAAGCTGCAGAGAGACAAACTCTTTCTGCTACGTCCAAAGCTACTACAAAAATAGTTAGTGAGAGGTAGGTCTTTCTTGTTTTCTTTGCGTTTGTTGCATCTACGTTTGTCTCACAATAAGTGATGATTTGTTGTAACATCATGGACTAGGTTGGGTGAGAGCGCGGGGGAAGCGACGAGAGATGTGCTAGGCACGGTGGGACACGCAGCTGGTACGGCCATGAATGTGCTCAAACTCCGCAAGGCTTTTTATCCTTCCTCTTCACTCACATCAGGGATCCTTAAAAACGCTTCAAGAAAGTGATCTTTAATTATTTGTTCAGTACAAGTTACATTTATGTATGTTCTTGGCTTTGGATTTATCTTGAGGGCAGAGAGTATAAGTATATGGACTACTAGTCTACTATGAGAGTGATTTCAGAATTGTAACCTTTTTAAATCTTACTTAAAGAAATCTATTTCTTCATTAAAATTAAAAGAGTGGAGCCAAAATAAAATCTTCTCAAACCTAATGATTAAACAAAAAAACCTAAAAAAAGCAGATCAAGAAATTTCTTGGTATAAAAGATAATTAAAGAAAAGAGTTAAAGCTCTAGTTGAAGAGAAGAAAGATGATAGATAAAACAGCTGCAGCTCCATAAGCACAAGGATTAAGTGCAGAGTCTCCGTTCTTTGATCCTGTTCTTGTTCCTGTTCCTGGATTACCCATTCCGGCTCCACCAATCCCCCGCCCTCCACCGATCCCTCGACCGATCCCTCCCACTCCTTCTTCTTCACCACCGTGGCCTCCTCCGCCCGCTCCTCTAACACCGTGACCTCCTACTTCACCACCATGACCACCTACTCCACCACCAACATGGCCTCCTCCTCCTCCAACATGACCCCCGCCTCCACTAGCGTGGCCTCCACTAGCGTGGCCACCACTAGCATGGCCACCACCACCGCCTCTGGCAACCACGGTGGTTGACTTGAATAGAAGTAATACGATGATAAGCAGCACCGCGAGTTTTGCGGCATAATTGGTAACAGAATGTGCTCGAGTCTTCGTAATTCCCATCTTTGTTCACGTAAGCAATAGATGGAAGATTTAGGCTAAGCTCTTCTTAACTCTAGTTTTTCTCTGAGATTAATTCTTAGAAGTAGGTTTCTTAATCCTACTTATATAGCTTTTGATATAACTTAATCCTAACCCTAATGCAAAAAGGAAAAGGAAAACACTATAACATAACATAAAAAAAATATATATATATATATATATATATGAAAACCTAATTCATAAAGTAAAACACCAAAACTCATTAACTTAAAACGATATACTTAACGATAAAGATTTCAAAGTTTTGATTTTATTTTTTTGGTTCAAACGGTATATTTTAGATCACTCTCCAAGTTGCTACAAGGCTGAAATCTTAATGAGAGAAAAAGCTACAATGTTACAACATATGAAAATAAGATAGCTTTGAAGGAAATACAGAGAAGAACTGTAGTTTCCTTTGAGATAAACAAGGAGATGACAAACCTATGAACCATAGCCGAAGCTGTAGAATAAGCCTTCTTGAAACCCCCAAGACCCCTGCGTGGTCAATTGTTGCTCGTACCGTTAGAAACATAGCCATCAAGGCAGAGTGTTGCAAGAATCTCTCCTTAAAGGAGAAAGTTTGTGACCCAAGTTTCTCCATAAAGGAGAACAGAGGCACAATAAGGAATTTCTCTTTACTACGGAGGAAGTTTGGAGAATCAGTCTCTCCAAAAAGAATTTATGTGAAATATTCTTGAAACTAACGATGAAACAACTTTACCTACCAAAAGATAATCCTGAAAATTTCTTGATATCGAAGACAATTAAAGCTCTAGATGAAAAGAAGAAATATGATCGTTAAAACAGCTGCAGTTCCATCCGCAAAAGGATTGAGTGCAGAGTCTCCGTTCCTTCTCACTGGTCGATGAACCATTCCGCCTCCACCAATCTCTGGCCTTCCTTCTTCTTCATGGCCGCCACCACGGCCTCCTCTTCCACCACCATGGCCTCCTCCTCCACCACTATGACCCCCACCGTGGCCACCACCACCGCCGCCTCTGGCAACCACGGTGGTTGACATGAAGAGAAGTAATATGATGATAAGCAGGACGGCGAGTTTTGCCGCATAATTTGTTATGAAATGTGCTCGAGTCTTCGTGATTCTCATGGTAATATTAAAGTATACACTATCTTTGATTCTTGAATTGTTTGTAACCTTAAAAACAGGAAGAAAAGGAATTTGTTATCGTGAGGTAAGATGCTTTTGAAAGTCCTCTATATTTTGTTTGGCATCTTAAAAGACTCTATATATATGTAGGCAATATTCATAAAGTTATTGTTTATTTATTTCTTTGTTGCACGATAAAGGTTAAATTCACATGAAGCCATATGCATGCGAAAATTGCATATGAATCCGTTTCATTTTGTAGGTAAAAATGCAAGACAAATGGCAAGATTCAAAAGTTCTGATGATTTGATTTGAATATTTGATACTTTAGGGCCAGCAACAAAAAGAAAACCACCATGTTTAAGGAGAAGTATCTAGAACTTGACCAAAAATAATAAGTAAATCACCATATTTATATAACTTAGTAAAAGTAAAAGTTAATATATTTTACAATTACTTTCATCAATTATCCTAAACTTCCTAGAAGGGATTAGCATATTTGAGATTAGGTACAGCATTAAAATATTAATGGTGGTGGACTGAATAATTATCATTATGACAAAATATAGTTTCAGTTCAGATGGTGGTTTCCTCAAAATTACCGAATTTCTCCTCCAATCTGTTTGTTCTTTCATGTAAAGCTAAACATCGTCGTAAATAGGATATGATAAACATATTTACAACGCGTTATCGTAAATTCTACGTTTAATCTTCACCGTTCATATTGCCACGTGTACATTGGAAATGACTCGTCTCCTTCTGGAACCAGGAATATATAAACAAAAATCTGTATTTTTGATATTTTCCACACAAAAAAACTCACCAGATCTGTTTCGAAGACCGTTTACCGAAATCCGCTTGAGCCATGGAGAAGCCGTACGGGTACGCGAGCGTGAGCATGACCGGCGTCGAACGCGCCGGCGGGAAGGATATCGATCTGGAGATGGGAGTCGGTGAGGCGACGCTTTACCCGGGGCTAAGCTACGGCGAGAATCAGCTCCGATGGGGATTTATCCGTAAGGTCTATGGGATTCTCTCAGCCCAGCTCCTCCTCACCACGCTTATCTCCGCCGTCGTTGTCCTTAATCCTCCTGTCAACGATCTCTTGACCGGATCTCCCGGCCTTCTTCTCTTCCTCTGCATCGTCCCCTTCATCTGTACGTAGTTTGTTTCTTCTGTTTCTCTGTAGATCTCATTCTTTTTGCATCGGATTTCGATTTAATTTTCCTCGTTTCTCGTCGTATATTAGATTTGATGTGGTTATTAGAATTCTTACGGTTTGATCTGTGATCTTCTTCTCTAGTTAGACGAATTCGCGTAATTTGTTTGATTGGATGCTAAATTGTATGATCAAATGTTACCTATTGCTACGCTATTTCAGTAAGTCAAATCAGGGATCGAATTCGAATGAGGTTGCCTAAGATGATTCGACTGTAACATTTACTCTTGATTGCTTTCCATAGACCTGAGTCTCATTGTGTATCTATGGCCTTAATGTTTATGCGCTTCGTTTCAGTTTTTCTTCAACGATTGAGTTCCTTTTAACGAGATTCATCTCTTTTGCTGCTTTGTTTATAAATCTCATGGTTTAGTTTAGATGATACAAATTGGAGTTGGATTCGTTGAACATATTTGGATCATGATTGGCTGCTTGATGCTTGTAGCTTTGGTGATAGCTAGTGTGTTAATGTTACAGAACCGAGCTTTGCTTTATTTGCCACTGAAACGTAGAACAAAGAACAACCAGAAACCTAAGGATGAATTTTGAAGCATCCTTTACGTAGAACAAAGAACAGACCAGAATAATA